CCAGGTGGCAAGTACTCCCTGGAGAGGAGCTCCGGCCGAGGTGGCACCCTGGAATATGTCCCCAAGGCCGTGGGCCAGCCCCGAAGGCAGGGTCGTCACGGCATCAGCGGCAAGTACGTCGTGGACAACTCCAAGCCTTCCACTGACCTAGAGTACGACCCCCTGTCCAACTACTCTTGCAGGTTGCTGAACAGGGCCAATTCCAGGGATGAGAGACCACCCAAGCGGGCCCGGGGTGCCCTTGGCCAGGAGCCCTACACACCAGCGCCCAAGAAGCACTGCGATGCCTTCAGAAGCTGTGACGCCCGCTTCTCGGACTCGGAGGATGAGGCCGAGGCGGCCCTAGGCAATGGGACCCTCTCTGCCAGCCCCCCACAGGCCCGGGCGGGTCCTGAGAGCCAGGCCTCAGCCAAGCTGCCCTGTAGCAAGGGCCTGGAGCCCGAGGACGGGGCCTCGCGAGAGACCAAGGAGCTGGCTGTGCAGTACGATCTGGGAGACCTTGGGCAGCAGCCCCAAGGCCTGAGCCAGGGCAGCCCGGCCACTCCTGCCTCCACCGTCCCTGCCACACCGGTGCAGGGAGCCTTCAAGGATGCAAAATCCAAGAGGAAACGAGGGGAGCTGCTGGCCGCCAGCCACAAAGACAGAAGTCGGAAGAAGGACAAGGGCAGGGCCCAAGGGAAGCCAGGTGAGAGGAAGACATAAGTATGATCTTTTTAATTGCTTCCCATGTGGTGCCCAGCATCTATCCTGGGTGAGGGGATCCATTCGTTCAGGCTGTGGAAGCCTCATGGAGCTGCAGCAGCTGTGCGGGCGTGGCGCGGGGGTGGGGGGGTGCGGGATTGGGAGCCACAAGACTCAGCCATTTCTCCTTGGGAATCCTTGAATTCCTGTTGTTGAGCCTCGATCTTCACTGAGGGCCAGTCATCAACTGTTTAAGTGTTCAAGTATCAATAAGCCGAAGTCTGTGGAAGGCCATAATGGCCCTGCTTAAAGTGGTTCACTGCTCCCGCAGCTCACCATTCATTCTGTCTCTGCCTCCAATGCCATCTTGGATCTCCCAAAGGGTATTTCTATTTGCAACTTTGTGAGAAAGTGCCGTACTGCCTTCCAGAGTGGTTGGACCATTTTACACTCCCGCCTACAGTGCCAGCATTTGTTGTTTGCTGCTCTGTTGAATTTTGCTATTGTTACTGGGGTGAGATGATTATCTCATAGTTGTTTTTTTTAAATTGAAGAATATATTTTAAAATATTCAGAAAGGGAAAAGATTAGAATCAAGCTGAGTTTCTCAGCCCAAGTGAACTTTCTCACAAGCCATGACACCAGAGAGGAAAGACTCGATATAGAGGGAGTACCTGTCCTGGTGAGCTCCCCAGCCAAGGCAAGTTTCCTCCAGCCCTATGACCACAGGCAGGGTGATTTTCGCTCCCCGTGAGACTGTAGTGAGTCCTGGACCAGAGGTGGACTTCAGGAAGGGTGACTAGCTCTCCCAACTGGAGAAGTGAACTCTTCAGCTGGGGTCATCAGCCTCAGGATCTTCTGGAACCCCAGGCAAGAAAAACTATCACAGCAAATATACAGAAGAAGTAGACTACCTCACACCCTACACCCAAATCCTAAGGAAGGTATCACCCCTAAGAAGTGAACACAACACGAAATTCATGGATTTCCTGAAGGTGGCAAATCTGATCAAACTTTCTGGCATGGAATTCAAAAGAAAATGGTTGGGTATTTCTGTGAGTGAAAGACAAATTTGAATAATAGCAGGAATCTACAAGCAATTTCCAAGAGGAATTAGAAAAAGAATACAAGACAAAACAAATAAAGCAGACCAGGGAGCTCTGGTGGCCTAGTGGCAAGAAGCTGCACTGCAATCCCAGAGGTACATGGTTCGAATCCACCAGATGCTCTGCCGGAGGAGGGGCCATCTCCTCCTGTACCAGTCAGATATGATTTGATGGTACACTCACACAAAAATAAAATAAAATTAAAAAAAAAAATTATCAGTATAAATTCCCCATTACTACACCTTGAAGACAAGACCTCGTACATCTTTAATTTCTAGCTTAATCAAAATGCTTTGCTTATACGGAATTTAGTAATGAGTGGAAGTAGATGTTGAAGGGATGTAATAAAATGAATGCCCTTATTTAAACAAACAAAAGGCAACAAACATACTAATTCATTTCTTTGCTAAATTCGTAGTGTAGGGGTTAAAAAAATAATACTCAAATACCTGAAATGTTTCTCTAAAACTTTATTTCAAAGTTATTCACCTCTCTGTTAATAAGGTGTACAGTTAATGCTCTATGCCAAGTATTACAAGGCATGCCCATTGCCGGCAATGGACTCTGACTGAGAAAACCCATTTCCTGGCATCAAAAGATACATACTTGACTCTTGAAAACATACTGAATTTCCAATACTTGGAAAACTATTACATGCACCATTTCCCATCAATCTTTAAAACTGAACATTATTAATCTACATCAGTGAATGTTAAAACGAAGACATTTTAACAAATTGTGACTGTACAAATCAAAAAACACTACTGGTTAATATTTTACAAACACTACATTACATAGTACATTGCAATTTAAAACATTACATTTCGTATTCGTGTAAGTTATTTCAGATAACTGAGATTTCATAGAATTGAACAGTAGATAAAGTTTAAAAATTTAGTTCTGTACATTAGTTCCAACTACCTCTATTTTACAATCGATAAGGCTCATGTCATGTTCAGCACCAAAAAGATCTACAAAATGGTCTAGTGTTCTTATCCATCCCAGGCAACAATTTTTGTTTTCCCAAAGGTGAAAGTCTATGAAAATGCTTTATAAATTCTACTCCTAGACCTTGAAGCAGAATATTCTTTTTGGTTTGGCAGACTGTAAAAATTCAGATTGTACTCTTCATAGGATACATTAAAAAAAAAAGAAAAAGAAAGAACACATCCACCATGAATTCAGTTCTCAGTCTTTAAGATGAATTTGTAACACTGACGCATCAGAAATAACCTACAATGCCCTGTCGCTATCTTACACCTTTCTGCTTCAAATAAAAACAGGCAGCAAAAGAGATGATTCATCGGTCCTTCAAATCAAGGTGCAAATAAGGACTGCAAGCCTTCCTCATCCACTGCTCCAATGGCTCTCACTGATGTTCAGCACAGCCACTTGGAGCTGACATGGGAACAGGCCCATGCTTACACCAGCCATCTCGTAGGTCAGCATCGCTCTGCTCAGAGGTCATCACAACTTTCAGTCACTGCTGGGCTTGATGGACGGCAACGCTCCAGTTTCCAGAACAACTAGTACCAACCTAACTCTTCTCCTCCCTTTAAGATTAAGAGATTTTTAAAAAGCGCACAGGTCAAACACGGTGTGTGCACACTGCATTGAAACCACTTTTCCCACGTTGTGATCAGAAGACTTGTTCAAAGTACTACAAAATTCTTACATGTTTTTTAAAAAATTGGGTTTTAATTGGAGACTGGTACGTCGGATTTCTTCTGCCAGAAGCACACGATTCATTTCACCACATTTAAAAGCTACACTCCATGCATACAAGTAGCAGAGAGGTATGAAGTTTTACAGAGCCCTTAGCATCACCCGAGTACACTGAGCACTGGCTAGACCACAAGAGGAAGCAGGCCAGCGAAGGCTTTTCACAGAGTATGCAATGGTTCTCCAGGCTCCACGTCAGCTAGATAAACATCGTCCCACCCCAGAACCCACGGTGACGTCTGCCCTTCACAGTTTTCAGTGTTCCCCGTTACTAAGGACAGCCGCTTCTGGCTCAACGCCTGTGGCAGGGAGTCTTGGCACTTTCTTAGCAGGACTTGGAATATGCTGAAATGAAAGGAAAAATTGTTGATTCACAGACTGTTTTTTTTAAAAATTGCATTTCTATGAAGAAGTGGATAAGGGAACTACTTTGAAGCAGCTTATACTAAATTTTTCCAGGAGGGAAATCAAATCAACGTCCATCCTTCACTACCGTGACTTCATTCTATCACCTGCCCCGTGGAGCACAGGGAAGGCCACAGTGCCACATCTGCTACTTCTATCAGCAGCTGCAGCTATGCAGAAGAGGCGCTCAACAACCCGAGGCTGCGAGAGCCCTGGCTCAAGCCTGGCCTCGCACGGTCCAGCTGGCATTCTGGCAGCCCCTTAACTTCCTGGAGCCTCATCTCTAAAACCCGTTAGCATCACTTCCTCAAGGGGACTGTGGTGAGAAAACAGAGCTGCTAAGGAAAGAAAGCAGCTAATAACTGAAGGCCAAGTGCAGTGAGGCCGTCGCTCCGTGGCACGCTGGAGACCAAGGCCCTAACTATCCTTCCGCGGGCATCCCTTCAAAGCCCTAAGTCTCGATTAGGCTGCCTCAATCCTCAAACGCAGGGCAGAGACCCCGGGCCCCGTGACAAGCCAAGCGAGCGCGGGCACGAAGGCGTCCCTACCTCAGCTGCTGTGCTGGAATGCACGAGGCCCACGCCTTCCTCCAGAGTGTCATCGCTCGGGGCGGGGCGGCGGGCGTAGGTCCTCCGGTGCATTTCATCCACTCGCACCAGGTACCACGTTCCTTCAAAGAGGGAATCGATCGAACCCTGGGGAATATAGTTGCCTAAAAAAGGGAACATATGAAAGAATTAGTTATATCCTATTACTAATTTTACTCACAAAGTTACTGCTATGTAAAGCCACATGCTTTTATCGTCTGTGTAGCTCACGATATTATTCCAGTCATCTGTCATGGACGAATTGTGTCTTCCAAGTATGTGTTCACTTGGCTATGCCCTGACTTGGGAAAAGGAAGGCTGAAGGCAAGACACAGGGATCTCCGAGGAGAGGGGCCCACAGTATTAAAAGCAGACAAGGACCTTCCCCCAGAGCCACAGAAGGCCTTCCTCAGACCTTGTGCACTCCCGGACTACGGGAATCAATGTGCTTGTTAAAGCCATGTCCTGGTGGCATTTCTGTTACAACAGTTCTGGGTAAGGCAGATACTTCTACAGACTTGTAGATGCCAATGGTGAGAGAATGCATCATTTGTTGAAGTTCCCCTTGTGGGGTTTCTGGTCCAGCAGCAATGCGTTACTCAGACACTCTGCCTGGGCGTCTTACCCAAGTGATGAGTGTCCTCTCTGAGCTTCATAGTCTCTGCAAAGACATCTGGTGCTACACAGGTTCTTGAGTCAAGTCTTGATTTAAGGTCACAGACGCTTGCTGTTATTTTATCCAGAGCAGACCCTGAAATAGAAAAGAATTCCAACACATGGAAAAATTAATGACTCCTGAGTCAAACATCAGCAAAGTGACAGACAGCTTTTCGTTCCTCTCAGAATCACTGGCTAGAACTTCTGAGTCCACGGGTCCCATGGTATCCATCTGACACAGGTCATAGGACCTGATTATCTATTTGGTTCAATTTTGCAGAGTAGACAATTAGGATGTTGGTGGGATCTGAAGCCAAATCACTTTTCTATAGTCAATCCATTTAATAGTTCTAGGAAATTAATGAGGAGCTTTCCATCAGTTTTTCTTTCTGCTTTAACAAAAGCGTCCTTAAGAGGCAAAATGCTCTAGTACCTAGTGGTAAGGAGCTGAACTGCAAACCAGCAGTTCAAGCCCATTGTCTGCTCTGGAGGAGGAGGCTGGGCAACGTCCTCCCGTGCAGCATGTTGTTGATGGCGACCCTATGAACAAAAGGCCTGAAGCCCCTCTACTAGACACTTATCAAAGTTCATAGAGTTTTTGGAGGCATGTGGTTTAGGAAGTGGGTGCCACTCCTGCTTCCAACCCACTCCAGGGTCACCTATGGGTCAGTTGTAACTCGACAGCCAATGACTCTGATTCTCTATAAAAATTAGACAATTTATTGTAAAACCAACAAAAGAGAAAGGATTCTGGTGTTATTCACTCACATGATCACTTATTAGTATAAACATGCAAATACTTCCTACATCTAATAAGTGTATTTCCCGTTTCATGCCTAGTTAGTGCCACAAGCTTAAAAAAAAAACCATAATTTTCCAAAGAAGAAAACTTTTAAATAACAGGAAATATTTATAAAGCTTATTTTTTTCCTATTTTGGGGGTGGGGGGAGATACCCTGACAGTGATATAGTCCTGCCTTTTACCTAGTTGAGGCAGATTATCAGGGACAGAGTAGCTTTGTTAAAATGTCTTGCTGCTGCAGAGGGCAGACCCGCACTCACCTGGTGTGGCATCCTGTGTGACTCTCAGGGAGTACAAAGTGGCAGCCAGACCAGAACCATAGGAGAAGATGCCAATCCTCTTCCCTGCCAACTGCTGAGGTGAGTACCTACGCAGATGGAGAAATGTGTTACGGTCAAGGATCCGCTCTTGGGCCCACGGTGAGGAAAGCTGGAGCAGAAAGAAGACCCCACACTGCAGCCTGGCGGATCCAGAAACTGTTACAACAAGCAGACGGGAAAAGAGCTTTCATTGCTTTGGGAATGATGGGGTTTATGAGGAAGTTACTGTATCATAAAGAGCATTACTTTGTCGACTGGAGACTGTCACTGTGGCTGCACTGTTGACACATCGGTAGCACAGCTCTGGTGGTCTGGGGGAGAGACGGGCAGTCTCCTCCCATGTGATTTACAGCCTCTGAAAAGACACTCATCAGCTAGATGAGGACTTGGTGGCAATGAGAGACCAAGGTGTCCACCGGCTGGGCTCGATGCCCAGTGGTTTGGCAACGCTGCCGTGATGTAATCATCCCATGATGTGGTGTCAGGGGATTCCTACAAGTGCGATGGGACACCCGGATGCAGGCTGCAGCCCTGTGGGGCAAGAGGTCTTTCCTAGGCTATGGCCTCTATCCCTTTTACTCTTACAAGACATAAAAGAGAAGCAAACAGGAAACACTAACACCAGGAAAGGGTGGTTGGAGTGGAGCCCGTCTTTTGGACTAGGGGAAGGAAGGCTTGCCTTTGTGTCTTCCCTGGGACAGTAAGAGGCGTTCCCTCTCAGCAGGCACATGCTACTCAGAACCTAGCCTCCGAAAACTGTGAGAAAACCACCATGTTTGTTTCTGTTCTAGTGGCACAGGAGAATGAAGCCCAAGGCTGGTATAAGGCGTAGGCTACTGCTCCAGCAGACACCTCAAGTGTGGAAGTGGTCAAAGTCAAGATTGGCTTGAAGAGATTGTTGGCAGCCCCTGAGCTGGTGAAGCTGGGTGTGCTGAAGCAGGAGCCCTGTGCCCGTGGACTGGGGGCTCCTGAGCACTTGCTGGCACAGCTGGGTTTGCTGGACCAGGAGCGAAAGAGCAGAGCACCTATGGGAGGAGGAGAAGCCCTTCTGGCACTTAGTAGTAGAATTATGAGTTTTGTAATATTTGCTCAAGCAGGGCAGAGGCTGGGTCACTTCAGGAGGCCTAAGGTGCCAAGAAGCTGAGGAACCAGAAAGCAAAGCTGATGACAGAAAGCAGAGCTGCCTTGGTCTCAGGAGGTAGAGTCATTGCTCTTAAATAGGCAGATACGGGGGGTTGGGGAAGAACAAGAAAAGGGTACATACATAATGAAGACACATTAGATCAGATAAGGGTCAGATCACAGTCTAAAAAGTCTAATATATGATTAGGCATTATATGAATGACAACAATCTGGAACAAAAGGGGCACCGCAAAATAGGCCGGGGCCCAGCCTCCCAGGGAACAAAGGTCCAAGCTTGCCGAGGTGGTGTCGCAGCGTGCAGCTACTCCTGAGCGCCAAGATGATGTGGCTGAATCTGCCACCAATGGGCCGAACAGGGCTGACAGTGTGCGGTGACCATTCGGGAGACGGGCAGAATGGGGCTGCCCACAGCGGAGGGGGAAAGGTCCTCTAGGACCGAAGTGAAATCATCAATGAATGACTTTATCTTACTTGGATCCACAATCCTTGGGGTACTGTGTTGGGAAACTCTGCTGTCAAGGATCTCTCTGTAACTGGGGCACTGAGGTCAGTTTGTAAGCCAAAGTTCATCTGATTCAGGCCACGGCCTTTTACTTGCTATGTATCTAAAACTAGGACAATGACTAAGGATGACAGAAGAAGACTCAATGCGCTTGATCTGCAGTGCTGGAGAAGAATACTCAATACCCCAGGGACTGCCAAAAGAGAGCCAGCAGAAACCAAGGTGCTCTTACAGGCACAGAAGACGAAACTCCAGCTCACATACTTTGGGCATGTTGTGGAGAGGCCAGTCCTTGGCAATGTTGAGGTCAACGTCATGGAGGAAGATGCTCAAGAAGATGGACTGACAGTGACTGTATTAACGAGCTCAGGAATCTCAGACGGTGAGGATGGCGCACAGGATAGGGTAGGGTCATGTCTGCTGTTTGTGGGATTGCTATGAGTTGTTCTCAGCTCACACTTAACTGTGAAAGGATCTAGTTCTAGTTGTTAAAGCCACTGACCTGTGATAGTTCTGTTCTAGCAGCACTGGATAAACAAGATGTGGTCTAACTATAGTTCAAAATAATGAGCTCATGAAGACGCAGCCAGGAAAGTCAAAGTCAGAACCCTACCTTCAACCCATGTATCCTTCTAGTCTAGAAGCAGGAGATCAGAATGTGACAATGAAACATCACCATGACTCACACCCTACAGGAGGCTTGACTCTGACTACTGACCTCCCACAGGAGGCTTGACCCTGACGGACACCCCACAGGAGGCTTGACCATGACTGACCCACACCCCACAGGAGGCTTGACCATGACTGACCCACACCCCACAGGAGGCTTGACCATGACTGACTGACCCCCACAGGAGGCTTAAGTGGCTGAGCCCCATACTTACTGTGCCAGAAGAGAAGCAAGTGAGCCATAGACTGAGGACGTGTACATGTTCCCATTCTGATTGGATACAAGCAAAGACGCTTTTGTTTTCTGATTGAAGAGTTCAGAACTAGCCTTCATAAATGCCTTTTCCACATCTCGGTCAAAGTAAGTATCTTCTAATTTAACATCCCTGAAAGATTTGTAAGACAGACAATGTTTATGGTGCTCCAAGAGGATGGGCTTAATGCCCAGTGACACCTGCATATGACTTCTCACTGGTTAAGCATCGCTCTTCCACGCAGCCATACCCAGCAACGCCAGCTGCTGTGAGAAACAGAACCAAGCACACACGTACGCGCTCTTTAAAGGCCTTGGAAACAAGGTCACCGGCTGGTTCCGGTGGGTTAATGTGTCCATTAGCACCTTACTGTTCTCAAACAGAACATGACACTGTTTCAACTTCGTAATCATGAAAAGCTGTCAGAGCTGTGGGGCACTTTACCAAGGGAGACGCGGGCCAGGAGGACAGAATGACCGGCTTTAAGGGCACACGTGTTAACAAGCGGCTACTGCTGAGCTGAGCCTGGCACACTGTGACTACGTGTTGGGGTAGAAGCAGGCTGTATACGGCCACCCGTGGCTGATCTGGGAAAGTGGGGGTCACTAACACAGACTGCTGTGACGGCCCGGGAACGGAGCAAAAGGCCTAACTCAGAAGCTCGGCTGAGTAAACAGGCTAAGGGCGCTACTTTACAAGAATGTACTTTCTCGCTAATGAGATCAATAGGTTAGATGGGTTTGAGGCCCTGGTGGTTCAGTGCTAAGGGATCATGCAGCCAGTGAAAGGCAGGTGCCTTGGAAATGCAGCTGCTCCACAGAAGGGCGGGCAACCTCCTCTTGTGCGATTTACTGCCTCTGAAAACTCGCTGAAGGGGCATCTATGGGTTCGTTCCTACCCGATGGAACATGACAACAGATGATGTGCGAGACCCTTTGGACTCTAATTAAATGTTTTTAGGTCTATACAATGGTTCTCACAGGCATAAAATAATAAGACAGACGAATCACAAGAGCTCCTCTTACCCAAAGGCTTCCAGGCCTCTGTAGATGCTATTTTTATCTCTGTTTTGGTCATTCAGAAAGTCATTCAGCAACATCCGGGCTAGAGATTTCTGAACCAGTTTACAGTACGGCGAGTGGAAGATCACGAAGCCAAAGTCATTCAAAGTAAAATCTTTATCATTTCCCTCTGAAAGAGAAGTCCAAGAAAAAGACGAGCTTCAGATAATAATCAATTTTGGAAGTTTGATATTAGGACAGAATTAGGGCTCTTGCATCTTAAACTAGTGCATGATAAGCAAACGACCAGAATATAGTGTATGCTGAAATCGGCTTAAAAAAGCACATCAAAAAAGACAGCTGACGTTGGCATCATACTAGTGTTTTTTCAAACATCAGAATCTTGTGAGTGGGTGACATAATCAATTTGATGCGTAAGAAACAGTTTTTGCTTTAAAGGAAAACAGAATAACTCATAGAATGAGGAAGCAGTTGCATGACGCACACTTTTGCTTCAATTTAGCATAAACATACACATCTTGTTAAATTACTTCTCAGTATGGTTCCTAGTGGAAGAAGTTAGAAAATGACTGTGTTTAGACGTTATTAAATACAGAGACCTTCTATATAATACAGAAATGGTCCTCATCCGTAGGCATTAGGCTGTGATGTTTTCTTTAAACCCTCTCATAACCTCTAAAGGCAAATACGGACTCTAGAGAAACAGTTTGTGTGGATCCAGCCACATCATACGGTAGGCAGATCTCACTGCCATCAACAGATACCCAGACCAAGGAGAACACACACAACCTACCCTTCTGCCACTGGGCGCGGACCTTTTTCCGGTAGACAGAATAGCAGCGGTCTAGTGCACTGAGGTAGCACTGAATGGAGAGCTTTCCATCCACAACAGGGTACTCAGAGAGCATGTCAGGCTTGTAAAAGTCATAGGCGTGCTGCATGTGGGTGCCACGCAGCCCTGTGAGAAACAAAAGGAAGATGTCTGTGGACCTCCACCACTTCTTGATAATCATATACAAATAGAATGTACCGTCTAGGGCCTTCAGAAACTGTCTAATTAGCTCTTCCCACTGGTGCTGTTAGGTGCCGTCGCGTGCAGAACAACAGATCTGAGCCCTACCCTACCTACCCTGTATCTGACACATTTCAGCCCACTGCCACAGTCACTTATCAATCCGTCTCACTGAAACGATAAAGGCATTTACAAATAGGCTCAGGGTTCCATTAGTATATACACTGTCATTCATGTTTTTTAAATCCAAATGAGGGCTACAACTGCCCTACTGAACCGCTTCTCGACCTTTTGGCTAAGACCAAGTGTACAATTGCCCTGCTGAACTGAAAACAAACTCTACCTGTCACGTTACTATGACTACAGGCCAGTTCCCCTTTTTCGCTTCTCTCTGAATTGGGACAATAACCACCTACAGCACAGGACTGCGACTGCCACAAAGATTCTGACCATATTTCACTGATGTCAGGGAAGCACCTGGAGCTCTAATGGCCTCTTCTCTAGGCTGTGGTGCTGTTAACCCAAAGCCACACTCCTCTGGGGTCTGAATCCACCCAAGGCGCCTCAGGAGAGATGGGCAATCTCCACCCTTGTGGTTTACAGCCTTGAAACCCACCAGAGGGTCAGTCACGAGTTTGTTCAGACTTGATGACAAGAGAAAAACCGAGCACTTGCTTTGGTTGACACTGTGCCTTCAGCAATGGGCTCCAGTGTCTCAGAGAGAGCGAGAACGGCCCGGGAGAGAGCAGGTGTCAGGTTGGGGGCTTACAGAGTCGCTATGAGTTGTACTCGAGTCAACAGCATCTAACAAAAACTAGTGCTTTTTGTGTATGTTCAAATTGTTCAGCACACCGACTTTTTTTTTAAAAAAGCTGCCACGAACACTTACCTCGGTCAAAAATTAAGGGGGCGTTTGGTCCAATTAGCAGAGCGACAGCTCCAACTCCACCTGTGGGTCTAGCATTTCCGGTGGCGTAGACAGCGATGTCCCCCGCGACCACCAGGGCATAACGGCCTGCAAGAGATCATTCTGTGATCACGCACGAGAAGACGGTCACACTATAAAAAGCACACCCATCAGCGGGGCCATCCATTGCCCCCAGAATGCCCCAGCCCCGTCTGTAGAAAGAAAGAAAATCTCCAAACTCAACAGCAAACTGGTAGGATAATCAGATCCCAATTCAGATGAGGGGAAGGCCACAACTGCCACGCGCCTGGAAGCATCGTGAAGGCGAAGGTCCTCTGGGCCTGTCACCACGTGGAGCAGGGGTCTGTACCTACCGTCCCAGGAGCTGGACTCGATCCAGTTGACGGCATTGAAGACGGCAGCCGTGCCCCCGTAGCAGGCGTTCGTGGTGTCTATTCCCTCTATGTCTGTATTCCCAGACTCCTCAAAGAGCTGCATCAGGTTCGACTTCACGGACTTCGACTTGTCGATGATCGTCTCCGTTCCAACCTCAAGCCGCCCAATGCAATCGTAGGAAAGGCCATTTCTCTCCATCAGATTCTGAACCACAGTCAGGCAGAGAGAGTTGATGTCTTCTCTGTCTGTGCAGAAGCCCATCTTGGCCTGGCCCAAGCCAATCGTATACTTCCCAGCATCTACACCATCGTATTTTTCCAACTCTGTTTGGTCAACATACTGAGAAGGAAAATAGATCTCCAGGGCAACAATCCCCACATCCTTTGGCCAGCAGGCTTCTGCGTTCAAGGGAAGTGACCCAGGCATGGTGAAGGAGCTTTAAAGAAAGAAACAATAACAACACTGTTACAAAATTGAAAAATGGATCTTAGAGAGTTTAACTGTCATTAGTTTAGCAGATTTTATTTAGGGAAGCCAATTTTAAACTTATGGATTATTTCTATGTAATAATTACATATATTATAAATAATAATTACAGTATGAATACAATACTATCATCTAAAATAATACATAACACTTTAGAAAGGCTTTTGATCTATTGAAAATTACACATCCTTATTTAAAATATTATTGTTAGATATAAAATGTCAATGAGATTCTTCTATGTTGTAAACAAACAGAAGGCAGAATAAACAATAATAAAATGGCTGACAAATCAGGAGTCAATTATCTGCCTTACACCTGGCCACTTCAAAAGGCTTAAATAAGTCATTCACTCATCATAGATATTGTGATTATTTATAGCTCCTTGGAGGCAAGGATTCTGAGGCTCCGTCTGGCATACTTTGGACATGCTGTGAGGAGAGACCGGTCCTTGGAGAAGGACATCATGCTTGGGAGGGTGGAGGGACAGCGCAGGAGAGGAAGGCCCTCTATGAGGTGGATTGATTCAGTGACTGGGATAATTGGGATGGGTGTGTCAGAGGCAGTGCGGTTGGCACAGGACAGAGAGTAGTTTAGGGCTGTTGTACATAGGGTCGCTGTGAGTCGCAGGCGACTCGATGGCACAACACAACAACAACTGTGGTATCAAACAGGAGTGCACACTTTATTGATCTGAAGAACCACAGCCAGTAGAAAACCGTAGCACAAAGTCCACCACACACACTGCAGACTCCTGCAATTTCAATCAGGGTCTAATATCAATATTCCAGACTTTCTATACAACATAACACAGTTCCAAAACCTAATAAACTGAAAACTGGGTAATTCATATATTATATGTAGTATCTGTTAGAAAGTACCTTTTAAAATCACCTCTCCCATCGCATCTTTTAAGAAAAGGATCTAGAAGTTGAATTGTCTTCACACTCTGAAGACATTTAGTTTATTTCTTGGTTTATGTCCCAACAGTAACAAAAAGGCTTGGGCAAATGTCACTTAATAGCCTTCCCTATTTTAGAAGTGTATTAGCCAGAAAAATAGAAATTATTCTAGATATTGAATATGGTCAAACATTTGGTAGCTGGCCAAAGGAGAAAAGAACAGGGTGGTTCTACAGAGTCGTGAGCCAAAGTCATACTGACGCTGCTTCACCTATTGTTATTACGACCTCTCCACTGGACTGCATGACGAATGTGGCATCCAGACGGGAAGACTCAACAATTGTCTGCATTATGCAGATGACACAAGCGCTTGGGGCAGAAGATCAAAGGCTAGAGTCTGCAAACTAGATTCCATTTCATCAACAACAACAACAAAATGAAAAATTCACCACTGGACCAATAGGCAACGTCATTAACAGATGGAGAAAAGACTGAAGTTGTCAACACCTATGTAATTAAGACATGTTGTTAGGTGCCCTCGAGTGTGACTCATGGCGACCCTCTGAACAACCAATCTGAACCCTCTCCTATCCTGTGCCCTCTTCACCGTCTCTGACATGCTCCAGTCACTGCTGCAGTCACTGTGTCAACCCTCCACCTTTCCAAACATGATGTCCCTCTCAAAGGAGGAGACAAGCTGCGTGGTCTGAACTGTAGAAAGCGGGAAGTCCTGGGAGGTGGGGCGGTACATGCCAAGACCTCTCCCCTTGATGCCTGCAGAGGCTTGTGCTAGATTTCTTTCTGGACAGAGGGGTTGAGAACCCTTGCTCCTGGATTAGACCGGGCACAGTATGCTCCTTATCAAGGCTGCTTTCCCCCCAGCCCTGCTGTGGGAAATCCATCACATGACCCCCGACTTGTTTCATATCCTTAGCTAAAAAAATCAAAACGGCCAAAACTGAAGGTGGTCCTGGGCAGAGGGAGAGTGAAATATGGAACGAAATTCACAATCTTAAAGAAGACCAGAACTGTTGGTTGAATAAGGGCTGCTGGAGCCCCAGAGGATGGTTTTGTCCCACCTTCTAACCTGGACCTGCACACACACCGCCCTGGGGATGGCCTCTGCCAAACAGCTAACAGGCTATAAAGATAAAAGCAGCACCCTGGAGGGAGAGGCGGACAGAGTCCTTCTCTACCGGGCAGCAATCTGCCCAGAGAAAATGCTCACAAAGCCAAGGGCACTGGGCCTGGGACCGCAGAAAGTGAAGGGGTCACAACCCACGCCACAAAAACAAAATGCATAGGCTGTTGGATGGGAAAATTATGTGTTCTATAAGCATTCACCCAAATCACAAATCAAACATAAAATTAAATAACCCTAACACATCAAAGAGAAAATGTCTCCAGCAAAAAATAAGATCCCAAAAATGGGAATTGGAGGGGGATGCACTTTTAACAACTTAACTCTGTAAACTTCCCAAAGCCATCTTCCAGAGAGAGAGAGGACCAGAGTGTCTCTCCCTAAGGGATGGCTCCCACACTCACCCCCCATGGACAGAACAAGTGTCCTTGTCATTAGACAAGCTGACAGAGAGACTCTGAGAACCTCTGGCCTAGAGACCCAAAGGGACCGGCAGAACCTTTATAGTCTGATTTCTAGGGATTGTGGGGAAACTGTTCAGCAGGGAGCCCATTCAGTCTCCTCACCGGGTTCTCATCATCCACGACCCCTGGCCTAGGCCAACAGACATCCTTCCGAATGAATGTATCTGATCTTTGTCAAGATGCTACTTAAAACTCTTCAAAGCTTCTCTTTCACAAATAAGGCAGCCTCCTCACACTAGACAAGGAGCTTGTTCCGGGTCACTCTCACGTCCTGGGTACCTAGCCCAGCATTTGGCACTTAGCATATGCTTAACAGTGGATAAATGAAATGCTACTTGCCATCTAATCTAAAACCAGCAGTGACAGATCATAAAGCCGAGGTTTAAAACTGAGGGAGAAAACAGCATCTTAAGAAAGGAGCTCAATGTGAACATAAGGCAGCAAAGGCTTAGGAAAAGGTAGTTTATTGGTTCAAACACAATCACTATCCAGACTCCTATCATTTTAAGTATTAATATAGCTATGAGCCGTGCTTGACTCGACGACGGCAATCAACAACAACAACATATAGAGGTAAGAGTTGCCGTACACCATCAAGTCGGGATCAACCCACAGCTGACCCTCCAGGGAAAGGTTTTCTGAGTAATAAATCACACTGCAGGAAGAGTGCTCATCCTCCCACAGAGAATCTGGGGGGTTCAAACTGTGTGCCTTTTGGACTGCAGTACAGCTTCTCACCACTAGGCCACCAGAGCCCTGTATATATACAAAGCATTACTGGTACATATGACTTAAATCTAAATATAAAGCCATTTTTCTTCTACCTAAACTGGAAACCTAGCAAAGATCCAAGTCTAACCTGATCCCCAAAAGGAAATGTTCACTTGCTAATGTATGTGACTTTTACGATGTCACACTTATTTGATTATCTACACCTTTTTCAAAAGAGGAAACAAAAGTTTGTCTCATTTGTTTTTTACTTGAAACGTTATCCTAGGAAACACAAAATTAAGGCTGCTTCGGTCTCCCAGCACCTTGCAGCGTTCATTTCCTGGGAGGGTGTGAGAGTATGCAGTGTATCAAATGGTCATCTGCTCTGGGTAGAAGGCAGCCCTCCCGGAGAGGGGCGCTCCCGTCCAGTAGCAGCAGGGCAGGGCAGGGACCGTACCTGTGCGAGGGGTACAGAGCTGCAGTCTCCAGGTCTGTCACTGTTTCCTCCTGCAGGCACTAGGAATTTCAAATAAGAACTTCTTTAAAGTAAAAAATCACCACAGTGATTCAATCCCAGTGTTGAAGGCAAAGCCTTTTCTTGTCCAACTATATTATGAAGAAAGTAAGAAACTTAAGGGCAACATGCCCACCCCCATCACCCTTATTTTTCCTCCGGTGGTTTAGTGGTTAGGAGCTGCACTGTCAACCCAAAGGCACAAGGTTCACATCTACCAACTGCTCTGCAGGAGAACTGTGGATAGTCTTGTCCTGTGTTTACAGCAAGTGAAAGCCCACTGGAGAATCAGTCAGGGGTTGGTCCAACTCGATGGCACACAACAGTAGCAAGAACAAGTGGTACAATCAGTCCTGACACTGAAGCAAAATAAAGAACTGTGTCACCACTCGGGCACTAAACCAAGCCCAGTGCAGGGAGCATTACCATTTTCTTCACTAAATTTGAGACCTCAAGAATATGAAGGGAAAGTGTAGCAGCCAAGTTGGGCAGCGTCCAGAGTACAAGACTCGCCTGATCAAGAGGCACCTAGGAGCTTGTCTGTGGCCTCAGCAAACCACAAATCACTACAGCTGAGCCTCAAGCTCCTCACCTATAAAATGGAGCCGATACTTGCCCAGCCAGTTGACTGTAAAGAGAAAATACCCTGCATTTAATTAAAAAGAAGCTGGATTTTCTGTCAACTATATTCACCCCAAGGAATTTCCATCATGTCTTTACAGAAACACCCTAGAGGTCAGAGGGGGTAGGAATAACTTGGGAGATGAAGAATTTAGGGAGGGGAAAAAAATCCATTCCAGGTCTGGTTATTGATATGCAAACACAGAAGTGAGTGAGTAATGCTTCATTATAATGCAAAGCACTAATCCAATCACCTGGCCTCCTGGTTCTTACTCATTGTAAAAACTCTTCTTTCTTGGGAGGTCTGGTTATTTTCTTTAATCCTAACCTCTCACTTTTCAATACTGTCACTTTCCTCCTCCTCACAACCTTCACTAAGCAGCTCTCTGCTGTGTCAGAGAGAAGCTGTCACATCATGACAGAGGCACACTAAACCTTGTCACTTCAGTAGGAAGGAAAAGGAAGATGAGCTTGAACATTTTCTTCTTTGAGGACTGTTGGCTACTTCAAACAGCAGCTCCTCTGTCACACACTCAAGCTCCTTTGCTCCCTGGTTCACTCTTCATAGATTTAGTACCCGCCCTTGCCTGACTAAGGGGATTCCGATGCTATCTAGGGAAGCCTTCTTTTCTGCTAACTGAAAAGGTTGCATTGGGCATCAGTACCCAGACAGAAAAAGGCGGGCAGTCTCCTCTCCTAAGATTTAGCTTCAGAAATGTGAAGGAGGGTGGCTGGGAGCTTGGAGTGATGTGGGAAGTGGTTACTTCTTTTAAGGAGCTCTGGTGGCCCAGTGCTCATGTGTTGCTGGTGTGTTTCACTGCTAATCATGAGGTCAGCAGTTCTAATCCACTTCCACAGAAGTCGGTTTTGTTTGCTTCTTTTACAAGATCAAAAAAGAAAAAGCCAACAAACATCCTCAAACTCACTGCAGCTGCAATGGTTCTGGTTCATAGAGACACCCCCCCCCCCGCCACCCCCCAAGTGGGTCTGTGGAGCTAGAAACGGGGAGGAGCTAGTTCATCCTTCTCTGGGGTATGGGGAGGCCCAGTCCCTCGCCAGCCAGGTTAGCAGATAATCGGGGCCTCTGCCTGAGCTCCCTTTCTCAAAGTTCTTCACAGATGCAGTTCCTTCCACTTTACTACTCCTCCCCTAAACACAGAGAGAATGAAAAGACCAAACATTTTGTAAAAACCTGAGTTGTAAGAAAAGATACCATATTTCAAACATATCTCCCTTTAATGATAATATCATCTATATACTTATTTTGAAAAAACAAGCCCTTTTTTTTCATTATCTCAAGTTATAGCTTTGAATCCAACCACTGTTCTCACAGGTGGGAGAAAAAATGAGTTCTTTCCCAGGCTGCACAAGCTGAAGTAACTTCCTAGAATTTCTTCTTTAGAGACATGTATGTGATAAGGAATTTCCCCTACACCGCCAACATTCCCTCTTTCTATTCTGATGATTTAAACTGGAGAAGAGAGAGTGCACACAAAGCAAAGCAAAGGAGGAAGACAAAGACCCAAAGGACACTTGTACCACTCAAACTACGCTGAAGATCTGCAGCGGGTTTCCAGAGGCCATAAATCACACTGGAGGAGAATGTGCTTCTCTCTCCTGAAGTTCAAGGCTCACATGATCAAAATAAATAAGATACTTTTAGATGAAAATGAGGAGGCTTGGCTGCCGGAGGTGGTGGTCAATGTCACTATGGGGAAGACTCAGTCAGAGGGCTCAGCTTCCATGACAGGCTGAATCCTGTTGTCTCCTGCTCTCACTAAACTAGTACCGCAAAGCAAAGCACAACACAGAGTCTTTTCAGAGGAACTGGGGGAAGAAAGCAAGGGTTCAGGAGCACCCCATGCCCGGCAACCCCAACAAGCTATCAGGGAGCTCCGTGGAGATTCCTCAGAGGAAGAGGGCCCCACTGCTTTGCCTAAGGTCTCAATAAACACGGACGGACTGCCTCGGACCAGCTAGGCTTGTGCAATGACTCTCTCTCTCCCCTAATTTGTAAATCTGGGCTCTTCAAAGGACTACACAGTGTCCTGAATCTCTCCTTCCCACTGCCTGTTTAAATCTGATTCATACAATAAATATATTCATCTAGAAGATGACAGGCTATAAGCAAGTACTTACTTATCTCTCATAGTAAAGAAAGAAACTCCAGGAAATTGGAAATACTGGTAACCTCTCCCCACACAAGCAAGCAAAAGCCTGGGGTAAGAAAGCTTTGCCCACGCTGTACATTGTGGGCTAATTCCCCTCCAAAAGTGCAGCCTCTCTTCTTACTCCAGGGTCCTGGTGGCGGGAAGGCAGGCCTCCCAGATGGACCACACAGAAGCCGAGTTTTCTGACCAGGGTCCTGCACTCCCACTGCAGGTCCGGCATGTGGATGTTGCCCACATGCCGCTGCCGACGGAATACCAGTCCCGAGGCGTCTTCTCCGGGGAGAGGACCCCTTGATTCTCTGTGGAGAGCATGCTGTAAAGGACACTCGGCTGTCTTTTTCCTGAAAGGCTCAACTTGGAATCCTATTTTAACAACTGGAGGGTAACTCTGTTGATTAATGCGTAGCTGTCCTCACTGAGCAGTTACCGTCTTCAACATCAGATACAGCTCAGGACTTTAGGGAAACTGGCTCCACCCTGTGCCTTTCAAGAGGTGGTTTTCAATCATCCCTAAATCCCAAACAGTAAAAATGAGAGGTGCCCACACGGAACCGGAAGAGAACAGCTGCTGATATCACAATCGTTCCTACGAGCACCACATCCCAGAACAAACCCTGCAAAGATGAAGACGGGCTTCTGTAGACTCGCTCCTCCCCACTGCTCTGCCTTCAGCTGTCAATCAGGACAGCATTAGGATGAACAAATTCATCGTCCCAGTACCCTCCTCTAACACTGGCTAACATGTTTCTCAACTTTGTAAATTCATACTACACTTACGAAGACCCTCAATGAGATGGACTGACTCGGTGACTGGGATAATGAGGGTTTAGGTGTGTCAGAGACAATAAGACTGGTACAGGATAGAGCAGGGTAGAGGGCTGTTGAACTAACAGAAGCAGCAAGATATAATATTGTGGTAATCCCATATAAACTTCTTGTCATGGGGTATACTATCGAGTTAGAAGTGACCCATTGCTAAACCCTCCAGCAGGTTTTCAGAGTCAGTTAACTACGTGGGAGAATGTCCATTCTTCAGCAGCAGAGAAGCTGATGGATTTGAACCACAGGCCTTTGGGATTTCAGCGTAGTTTCTTATCCCTAGGCCAAATTAAAAGAATTAGGGATTTCTACACCTCCAGCTTCTCCATTCACAACTTCAAACCACATCTCCACCCAGGATTCTACTGGGTTTCAGGAAACACAGCTTTCCCGTGGCACAGTGTGTAGCCTGTATGGTGGTTCGAATCCACCCAGTGACTCAGGGCAAAGACGGACAATCTCCTTCTGTGTGATCTACAACCTCAGAAACCCAATTCAGAACGCAAAGGACCCAAGAGATCCAAATCACACCAGTACCCGAGGGTTGGGACTGTCCTCTGAGAAAAGCCGTCTAAAATCTAAGTCTAAAAAAAAAAAAATCTCAAAATCAGTCCCAGATGCTAAAAGCACTGTGGAACAATATTCAAGTAGAATATCAAGCAAAATGAAAACCAAGGCCCTGAACAAGGTCCTTTTAACTGTCCTTACGGAGAACACCTCTGGAAACTGAGGCTACTCTAGAAATTTATGAATTTCAGAGAAGGCTGGATAAATGTTAGACACGAACTTTCACCTCCCTCCCTGAGTTGCCTGTTCTTTGCCCTCTTTGTTTGCCACCCAAAAATACCTGAAATTTACATACATACACTGCATTATTTTTAAAAAAACGCAATCTTCAAATCTCAATTCCTTCCCACTCCAGCCCACCCTACCCTATGCCAATCTCTTTACAGCCAAATTGTTGTTGTTGTTACGTGCCGTCGAGTCGCTTGCGACTCACAGCGACCCTATGTACAACAGCCCTAAACTCCGCTCTGTCCTGTGCCAATCGCACTGTCTCTGACACTCCCATCCCAATTATCCCAGTCACTGAATCAATCCACCTCATAGAGGGCCTTCCTCTCCTGCGCCGTCCCTCCACCCTCACAAGCATGATGTCCCTCTCCAAGGACCGTCTCTCCTCACAACATGTCCAAAGTAAGTTAGACGGAGCCTCAGAATCCTTGCCTCCAAGGAGCCACCCGGTTTAACCCTTTCCAGGACGAATCTGTTTGTTTTCCTAGCAGTCCATGGTGTTCTCAATACTCTTCTCCAGCACCACAGCTCAAAGGCATCAATTCTCCTTTCCATAAGGAATATATACCTTTTAAAAGGTCTATGTTAGG